TCCCAGAATTCCCCAGCCAGCCATGCTGGCTGGGGAATTCTGGGAGTTGAAGTCCACACCTCGGCAAGTCGCCAAGGTTGAGAAACATTGTAGTAATGTATCGGCATAGCATCTGTGCAGATCCAAGCAGGGCAGCCCTTGGTAACTGACAGATGGAAATGTTGTCAGTGTGCAGATTTTCTAAGTACCATCCAAGGCTTTCTGGTACGGCCCCCAGTGTGCTGATAACTACTGGGCCCACCACGGCCAGTTTATGCCACAACCTTTCAACTTCAGTTTTCAGATCTTGATAGTTTATGATCTTCTCCAATTCTTTGCTTCTATTGTACTTTCCCCTGGTATTGCCACATCAATGATCCACACTTTCTTCTTTTCAGCCACAATTAAATCTGGTGTGTTATGCGCCAGAACTTTATCAGTTTGTATTTGGAAATCCCACCATATTTTAATCTGCTCATTTTCGACTACTTTTTCAGCTATATGTTCCCACCAACTTTTCATTACTGGCAGATGATAATTTTTACAGATATTCCAGTGAATCATTTTGGCGACTGTTATATTGTTGTTTATAGACAGTTTGCGCGATCTTCTTGCACAAGCTGAGTATATGATCTAGTGTTTCTTCTGCTTTTTTGCACAATTTGCACTTTGAATCATTTGATAATTTTTCAGTTCTGGCCTTGATTGCATTTATTTTGTTTCTTTTGGTTTTTACTTTTATGTTCACCACCCAGAGCCCCAACTGGGGAGATGGAAGGCTGTATAAATAGAAACAATTATGATAATGATGACGATGATGGACGCCCGCTTTCCATCTTCTCGGCTCTCTAAGCACAGCCTGCTCTTTCTTTGGGCTAGGGAGTCATCGTCCTGGATCAAGAACACATCACCCAAGCTCCTCCCTCTGGACACCATTCGGCTTTCCGCTCTCCTCGAGGACTGCACTGACCAGCTGACCATCCTGGGCTACATCATGCCTGCTTCCTACGAGGGAAGGAAAGACGTTGGGGATGTAAGTGCAGCGCCACATTGTGAAAGGATGACTGATGGATGTTTGGAAGGAAACATCTGTTATTCAGGATTTCATCACGGATGAAGGCATGACCTGGCAAGTCTAATGGAGATCTGGCTGGGAAAAGGGGCACAATCATCTACCAACCTTGTGTGCCAGGTTCCTGTGCGGTACGCCAGGCCAGGGAAGTGGGGGGCGGGGAGGGGAAGGCCTGTGGTGGATAGGACTTCCATCCTGCTGACCAAAAGCTCCATCCAACAGTCTGCCAATTTTCTCTGTTTGCTGCTGTGGCCGGGACAGCAGGGACACTGGGAGTGTTCCCTCCACCTTGTTGCAAATAGTCCCTCTTCCTGAAGTAGCTGTGGGGATCTCAGTGGCAAATACTCAGGCCTCTTGCCCTGGGAGATTTCAGCCAGGAGGTCAGGATGTCACGTCCTCTGCAACAGAATCCAGATTGAAGAATCCAGGAGACGGGTGCAATTATCTCTCTCTAATAGTAGAGCATTAATTGATTAATTTTATAACATTAGAATTGGAACATCTCTAATGTTCCATTTTTGGAAAAGGGGATTGAGATGTTGGTGGCCTCACAGCTTCAGCTGCCTCAGAATGAAATTGATTTTCTGGATCCATTTTAGTGAGGCATTTGGCTGAAATATAGTACACGTTGAAGCTGGTTTGATCACCCTCATAGATGACCTATACTCAGGAACTGAGTCCTGCTCCTTCTAGAACATCTCAGTGGCTTTTGATACCATCAGCCATGGTAACCTTCTGGAACACCTGGCAGGATTGAGCTTTGGGGCATTTGTTTACAGGGTTCTCGTCCTGTCAGGCCAAGTCCAGAAGGTGGAGCTGGAGGACCATTTTTCAACATCTAGAGTATTGCCAATTATATATTATCCCCCAGGCTGTTTAATGCAAGGGACAGGGATCCTGTGATCCCTCAGCTGAAAGATCCTGGCTGGTAGCCAGTTGCTTAAAGGTAGCCAGGTGCAAAATTTAAGGGGACAGTGTTGACTTCTAAAGTCCTGGAATTGTGTTTGGCCTTCACTCTTAGTGTTTAGGAGAATAGTCAACACACCTCTCTTTTCCTAGACTGTACTAGGCAGACGGGGATGAAGGGGGTCTACACATCTCTTGACAGGAGGGGGGTTAGAGTCAATAGTAAGATGTCAGGGCCCAGTGTGAAGAGAAAGAATAGTGGGGAAGAATTTCAGAGATGGCCAGGATTCTATTGAGCTCCTTGATAAAGTACCGTGCCCTCCTGGCTACTTACATATGGTTGTCGTTCCACAGGGCGTGTTCCTCCAACCCCTTTTGGGATCTTTTTCACGTCTCTCTCTTTGGCCCCTCTTCAGCTTGACGAACAAGGGATCCAGGACATTCTTGAGAACCAGAGGGAGCTGAGCAAGAAGTACAGGAACCTCATGGACACAAGAGCAGAGGGCCAGGCCAAGGCTCCCACTGAGTTTGGCAAAATAGCAGAACGGCAGCAACTGGTGGAGACCAGCACTGACCTGAAGAGGGCTAACCACCTTTTCACCATGGCTACAAAGGAGAGTGTTTTGTCCACAGATGTCCTCAAGAAGATTCAAGCTGACAGGTGGGATATGTGATTCCAGGAATCTCCTGGTGGACTGGGTCCTCTTGTTCCCTCTCCTCCTCTGCCAGCCCCAGACCCCCTTCCTGAGCTATCATTGCCTTATATTGCCATATGGAAGGGTTACTGCTGAGTATAAACCCTGGTTTACAAATGAACCTTGGATGGCTGCTTGTGCATCCCCGTTTTTGCCATTTTCGTTCTGCTTCCTATCCTTGAATTTCCCATTGCTCCTCCCACTGCTTCCTGCTGGACGGTGATGGGAGTTTGTTCTGGAAGGTTCCAGGCTGGAGCAGCTGGTTTGGACAGAAGAGCACCTCTGCTGGATCAGGCCAGAGGCCCAGCATCCTGCTTCCTGCACTGACCAGTTCAGGTGTTCCCAAGAAAGTTACAACAGGATATGCTGGTTTGTCTGCATCCCAGAGATCTTTAGATATTTAATTGTAGCAGATATGACAGAGATCATACTTCTCCATCATAAAAAGAGGCTTGCTGGATCAAGCCGACTGACACAGAATCCAACATCCTGTTTCCATCAGCGGCAGCCAGAGGCATCTGGAATGCCCACAAAGAGGGATAAAGTCAACAGCAGATTCAACCTTCCCCAGGAGGGGAACATCCACAGGTTGAGTTCATGCATCCCACTCAAGCAGAAGAGCTACTGTGTTCACTTAATATCTTGTGGCCAAACCAATACATTATATAATGGCTTAACCCGATGCCCTGGTTCACACGTTAAGAGAAGGAGTGGTTTCCATAACACCCTGAATCACAAATTGCCCAGCCTATTGCGACGTACTCTGATACGTTGTGCAAATCCAATCCTACAACCTGTGTTTTGAGGGCTTACGCGCTGCTTGAAAAGTGCGACTCCCAGAAAAAGAATGTCGCTGAGGTGCTTTTGTCTGGATTGTGCTTTCCGTCAAGGGTGATGGGGCTCTTAGGAACATTCCTGCAGGACTGGAGGCCTGGACACTCCTTGGGGCTTGTCCTTGGAGGGCCATCAGGGGGTTCTTTGCTGAAGGCATGGCCTGCAAGGAGATCCATGGGCCTGCCAGTGGCTGGAAAGGTCCTCTCCCCCTTTCTGCTTGGCCACTGAGCTGACCAGTTCCTGTCTTCTCCTGACAGGCAATACTCGAGCAACGTGATGGAAGACACCATGGATGAAATGCAGATGCTGAGGACCTTCCGCACCTTACAGTTAGCTGTGAATCTGGAAGATGAGAAGAAAAATAACCTTCAGAGCCTGGTCCTCAGGTCATTACTTTCATCTTGGAGGAGCTGTCCTGAATCTGATTGCTCTGATTGTTTCTTTGGCAGGGGTCTCTCTTGGAGACATGATCTGCAATTCATTTGAATCCAAGAGGACAGGTCAAAACATGGAGGGGTGTGTGTGTGTGCGTGCGTGGGTGTGCGTGCATCAAAGGGGAAACGTGCTTTGCTTTGCTTGAAACAAAATTTTCCTGCTTAAAACCTTCCACTGGATTGGTCAAGTTGGCTGTATTCCATTGGGACAAAATTCAGGGTTGCTCTAGAGTTTTATACCACTTTTCCAGGCACTTTTGTTTCAAATTCAGAGAATACTCGCAATGATCCCTTTTAGGTTAGAATGCTCCATTTCAAGATTCTGAGCGGTGGCTTTTGTTCTGATCCCAGAACAAGGTTTTGCAACACATACTTGTTTCTGGCTTGAAACGAGTAGCACGTGGACCACTTTGTACATTGTGATAAAAGCCATGGCTTCTCCTATCAACTCCTGCGAGCTTCAGCCCAGAGCTGTGTGCCATGCGATGCAGCAGTTGCCATGAATACACGGCTGGGAAAGCCACGCTCAGGCTGGGTTCCTTAGTTTCAGGGATGCTTATTATTTTTTTCCTACGTTTGCTCTGCGAAACAGTGAAATGGGGGCCCACAAGCGATAGAAAGGTGAGAGTTTCCTACTTTTTATTTGTGGGACAATCATAGTCTAGTGCTCTGTGGGGAAATGGGTTCCGATACATTCTGGATTTTCTGTTTTCAGAAATGGCAGAACAAGCCCTGTTTGGTCTGCTTTGGGGCCAGCTCTGCAGAGAATTGCAGGTGGAGCTGAATCAGGGCCTGCAGCTCTTCCTGCATTCCACCTGATAACCAGGCAGGCCTCATACTTCACATACTCTTCCTTGCCTTCTGTTAATGTTTCTTTGAAACACCTTAATTTTTGACAGGGTGTAAGAATGCTCCCTGATTGACCCCCTGCTAAGAGGCCTGAGTGGATGGAAATCCTTTTATTTCCTCCAAAGCTTCTCCTGTATAACCCTTTTAATAGAATGGCACCCCTAATTAAAACTAGCTAGCCCCTTGATGATTCAACCACACGTTGATAGGAAGAAGGGTTCAGCTGCCAGGTAGTTTTCTGATTTCGTGGCATGACATGAGAGAGGGAGCATTTTTCTTGATTGGCCAAAGAAACAGAGGCTGTTTTTCTCTTATTCTGTGTGCTTTATAAAGCCATAAAGTGGTGCTTACAAGGAAGGGGCAAGGAGGGCCTTCCTAACAACATTCACCCAGGAATCCCAGGGAATCTCTTGCCAAGCATGTTCTCTGCAATCAATGTTGAACCTGTGCTGAAATCCAAGGGCTTGTTCAAGGAGCTAATTAGTGTATTTTAGCTAGGTTGACTGTATTTATTTGGCATTGTGTGTGTGAAAAATTGCCACTCCCCCGCCCCTCTGTATTTCCTTTTCCCAAGTAACTGTTTTAAATCGAGAGATGTGGATTTGCTAGTTTAATAAAGGAACTTCCCCTGAAAACCTTCCCTACATGCAAGATGGCAGTTGCCCTTTGCGTTTCAGAACTGCCAAGCTCTGCTCGTCTGGTCTCTGGACAGGAAGACCAGGGCACCTTCGGTGTTGTTTCGCCTGGGATGGCTGGAGAAACTCTTGGTAGGAGGGCTGAAACCACCCTGCAGTCAGACTTGGCTGGATCAGAAGACTCTCTCACTGGAGAGAAGTGGAAGAAAGAGGTTTTCGACCACCCCCATCCCAGCTCATAACATGTCTGTATTTTTGACCTAGTAAAGGTATTTCCCTGAAGTGGATTTTCAGAGTACTTCCCTTACTGATGCCCTGCTGGTATATTTGGAAACTCAGAGTACTATGAAGGCAGGTGATTCATCCCTCAGGAAGGCTTTAGGAGCCCAGGACAATAACTCTTCTAACATTGAATGGGGGCAGAGAAGTGGGGCAGCTAGCAAATGACAAGTGTTCTTTTCTTGAACTTTGGCCGCCTCCTGGGAAGTTACTTTTCTTGCCAACAGCTTTAAAAAAGCGCTTTCCTCTTTCTCAACCCCCACTCCCCCCAACTTACAGGGAAGAAATGGGAAGGAAGAAGATAAAGAGTCTCCAGAAACAGCTCAGTGAGGTCAAGAAGGAGAAGGATTACGAGGTCCAGGTAAGCCTGGAAACAGGTCTTTTTTCAAGCCTGGCTTGATTAAGTAAATTGTAAACTGTTGATTAAGTAAAACTACTCATCCCTTAGGCTATTGGAATGGTCTAAGGTGTGAAAGAAGAACATAAGCAGGGCCCTGCTAGATCAGATCCCTGGCCCATGTGTTCCAGCAGTGGCCAGCCCACTGGTCTCCCAGCAGATGGCCTTCAGAGGCAGTCCTATGCCATCAAGACTGACAGCCACCGATCCTCAGGACTTCCATGAAGTGCTCCAACCCTTTTCGGGAGCCAGCCAAGCTGGTAGTCAGCCCACATCTTGTGGCAGTGAATTCCAGAGTTGAATTATGGGTTGTATTAAAAATTGCTACCTTTTGGCTGTCCTGATTCTTGCAGGATTCCATTGGGTGGTTCTAGTATTTTGGGAAGGGGAAAATAGCTTCTCCTTGTCCACTTTGCATATTAGAAGCTTGCCCAAAAGTCAACCAGGCAGCCCGATGCATTCATTCCAATTACAGAAGTGAGGTTTAAGTGACTTTACAAAGCAAACAGATCAGCCTTCGCCAGTGTGCCAATGTTGCAGATATGCTGGAGATGTAAGCCCGTCATTTTTCCCCTCCACAATTACATATTGCTGGGAATATATATATATATAAATATATATATTTGCGTGCTGTAACCCATGCAGTTATTTTACTCTGTTGGACCAGTTCTTCCATAATGTTTGTATGGGTCATTCAGTTCTACTGCGTAGTCTGGGGCCTGTTGCCTTTAAAAGCTAGGAGGTTGTAACAGTTGATCTTGACTGTTTCCTTTTTTAAAACTTAAGAATACTTAACAGGTCTGATGTTTCCCCACCCTGAATAGCATCACTCAAAAGCTATTCCCAGACGCTGCCAGTCTGAAGAGGGCAACTAGACCTGACCTAAATAATTCCAGATGTTAATGGCAGCTCACTGCCAAGAAAATTACACCACCTATACAACTGTCTTATCAGTTAGAATTACAGTATTTGCCCATTGGAGAATTTGTGAGCCCTCCTCCTATTTAAAGTGGCCCAGCCCTGACTCAGGTTGTTCTCCTCTTAAAATAAGACCCAGATGTCCAGCAGGGAACCCTGAAGTGGAAGCTTTCCCATTCCTCTTGCAGAGCAAACAGAACCTAGTCCAGTCTGGATGGACACATCCAGTGATAGAGCTGACTAGCCTGTCTAACCTTTTTTTCCTTTTTATTGCCCTCCTCCCCCCGGTTATTTCATAGAGCCGGAATGAGATGATTGCCTATCTCAAAGATCAGCTTCAGGAGATGAAGGCCAAAACTGACATGGAGAATCGCTATGTCAAGAAGGATACCGAGCTCCAGATAGCTCAAGTGCAGAAGAAGTCTTCTGTGACAGAGAATGATCTGCAAAATGAAATTGAGGTGTTTTCCTTGCTAGAGGAGGCGGCCATTCTTGGGGGGGGGAGGGACATGCACACGTAGGCCCAACGATGCTGGCAAAAGACCACTGACGGGATGTTCCAGCAGACTGAGGAAATTTGAAGCTTCGTCTTCAGCAGATTTTGTCCAGCATTCCTCTCATATGTCCATCCCACAGGGGTTCCCTTCACACAGAAATGCGGCTCTTACCTCAATTGAATTTCTATTAGTAGCCAATTTGACACAACGGGGCAAGCAGGCAACTGTCAAGTTCCCACAGAGACAAGGACAAACTTTATTATCGTATTCCAGTCGATGGCAACCTTAACAGATAGTTGAGTTTCTAAGCAGTGGTCATTCAGGATTTATCCATGGTCAGTTCTCAATGCTTCCTGCTCTTTTGCCCCACCCTCTTTGAAGATTCCCTCTTGTCTCTCCTGTAGTGGCTGCTGATGACTGATGCTTGTTTACATTCTCTGCATTCCTGCTCTTGGCTATAAGAAGCTGGAATTTTCTAGCTGTGAGCTGAGCTCTGGCACCAACCAAACCAAATTATGGTTTACTGCAGTGTGTGAAACCAGCTGCTGAGTTTCTGTTCCAGAGGGACCCAATGATTAGAAAGGTTCCATACAAGCTGAACCCTTGTGCTGCGGGGGAAAAAAGTCTCGGAGGCAAGACTCTGTTCAGATGGAGTTTTTTTCTTTGAAACTTACAATCCAAGCAAGGGCCAACCTTGACATCCTAGCAGAGAGCTCTTTATACTGGGAGCTAGAACTCCCAGGACAGGAATGCTGAAAATGCCAGTAATTGCCTGCCACTTCACACCAAGCCTGAGAAGTGCAAAGAAGGATTCCCCTTCAGCAGTGGGAAGGGTGGGAGAAAGATGATTGGGTTTAAGCTAAGGGAGTAGAGAAGGAATTGCAACTTCATTTTGTCCAAGGGCAATCAGCTTGGGACTTCGTGCACAATTTTATTTATTAATTAATTGTCTTTACCACTGTAATCTACAAGGGGCTCTTGTTTCACAAAATAAGAATACCATAATAAAACCAAATCAAGTCAGATGTCTTATTAGTGCTGCCAGCTCTACAGTCTGGGAAGCTTCAGCCAAGTTCCAGCCAGCTCAGGGAGGGGCTACCAAGTCCGTCTGCCCATCAAGTCTGGAGTTGGCTTACTTCTAGGATATCACTCAGACTTTTCCATTTCTTGCTACTTGATCTTTTTAGTAGACACACCAGAGGCTACATCAGGGACATTCCTCCACTCAGTACTGAGATTCTACCACAGAGCTGTGCTCCTATGCCCAGTGCTGCTTCCGAATGTTTTAATCTGGGAGTAAGGGGTGGTTGTCACCCAATCCTGTGTCCCACATTGCAGTCCATAGATTTCCCCCCATTATACAGGGAGATGATTACGGATGTAGCCTGACATAAACTAATCCCACTCGGCTTCTTGAGCATGGCAGGTTCTTGAGATCTTTTTTGCATTATGAAGATTCCTGATGGCTTTTGCTTTACTCTTTAATGCATCCTCTACTTTTCTGCTCTTATTACCAGCTCACTTACTTAGGGCACTCGCCCCAAATCCACCATCCACAGGAATTGCTTATTTCAAGGTCTTTCCTTCCTTCCCTCCTCCATTCCTTGACCATATCAAGAGGTCAAGGGTATTGTGGAATGATGGTGTCTTTGGATAATATTGTTTTTAAGATACCTTGTCCCTTTGCCATAAATCCACCCTCCAGTATGGTACCAAGTGGGAGAGGATGTGTGGGATCACCAGTTTGATGCCAACTTTTTTTTCCCAACTACAGAAGCTGCGAAATGAAATGGACCAAGAGATCAAAGTCCACCTGGACATTGAGACTTTCCTTAAGCAGCAGCAAACGGTTGGTGATGGCTACAACTCTAATGTCATTCATCTCAAAGTTGTTGCAAGAAAGGCGATTCTTTTTTCTCAACCTGATTCTTGGGTAGTGATGCAACTCCTGGAGAGCCCTGTCTTCCATCTTTCACCTTTATTAAGCCTGGATATGCTAGACTTTCCTCCCTTTTAGAGCAGTGGGTGCTCTGCTGCACTTGTCACAACCCACTTTGATTAGAGAAGCCTGTAAACACGGCTCTTGGTGCGTATGCAGAAAACACACAAATCTTTGCATTGAGCCTGATTTTAAATTTCAGGAATCTGAAAAAGAGTGTTAACATGTACAAAACATCCCTAAGTTCCACCAAATGCTCCTTTTTCAAAGGCTTCAAACCTGTCCTCCTATCACTCTTGTAGATAAACCACAGCGCACGAACAAATACCTGCAGCTGTTAAATGCTGCCATTTTGAAATGTACTACAATTGACTTCATTCGCTGAGTCGTGAGTTGAACCAGTCAGTTGCTGCCAGTTGGGCAGAGGAGCAAGCTCTGGTGGTTGTTTTGGCTAGTTTGCCCAATCTGGCACTTTCCATGGGTGGGTTTCAGCTCCCAGAATTCCCGACCGTGCAGGGCCACTGCTCAGTAATCTGGGAGTAAGGTACGTAGTCTGCACTGCAAGGATGAATTGGCAGTCTTGGTATGAAATGACATGTTGGGGAAGGAGGAAGTGGAGCTGGTGAGACGGCAGCAGTGGAGGTGGAGGGAACACACAGTCTTTTGCCATCAGCAGAAACCACAGCGTTGACTCCTTAGCAGTTTTGAGTCTGGGAGGTGGGAAAAAGCGAAGTTCTACAGCGTGTGTTTGTGTGCAAGTCAAAGGGGAGCTTTTTTGAGGGAGCGTGAAGGCATGTATCTCTGTTTCTGCTCCTTTGCCCCAACTGGATGGTCCATCTGCCACTTCATGTTCTCAGAATCCCAAAGCATCCTCACCTGTAACATAGCCAGAGCCACATCCTGGGACGCCGAGGGAGAAATGCAAACGCCAAGTCAGTGTTTCTCAACCTTGGCCGTTTTCAGATGGGTGGACTTCAACTCCCAGACGCTGAGGTTGAGCAACCCTGTGCAAAGTGACCACACGCATCTTACCCACAGAGCATAGAAGAGAAGCTGGAGTACTGGATGGACAAGTACGAAAAGGACACGGAGGCCCAGCAGCAGGCGCTCAACAACCTGAAGTCCTCACGAGCAGCAGATCAGGCCGCTCTGCAGGAACTGGCCAAGCAGGTAGGGAGGGGCGCGTCCACCGTTCCCATCTGCAACCCCCCCTTTGAAGGCGGGCGGTGGGGAGCGCCTTCTGTGGTCCGGAGCAGCAGGACTGGGTCCTGCAGACGGCTCAGCAAAGGAGAAGGGTGGGTGCGCGTGAGTGGGGAGGCGGCTCAGGTGGAAAGGCGGGCGGGGTGTCTGCAGCGCGTGGTTAAAAAAGTCAAGATGGTGGCCAGGATGGCGTGACCTATTCTTTTATGTGGGTGGCATATGCGACAGAGAAGATGGGGGAGCTTCGACTGAATTGCCGCGGCTGCCATACTGACTTTTCTGACCACATCCTGTGGCCACCCCAAGGAAGGCTTTTCAGAACATGCCCTCCTGAGCTTGCCCGGACCGGCTCCATTTCATAAACCAGGTCCAAGTCTGTGATTGGGAGTGTGATGACACCTCACTCTCCTCGTCTTTGTGGACATTACAAATGCTTCCTGGCTATCAAACTCACGTAACGCAGGAAGGGGACAAGAAGCTGAGAGTCTGTCTAGAACCACCTCAGAAATTTGTGGCTGAGACAGAAACCAAGCAACAGACAGGCCACTTGAATTTGGAGTGCTGCCTTGACAGAAGTGCCGTCTTTTTTTAACGCTGACCCTCCATGGGGCAACTACAAACAGCTTCCTCTGAGCACCAGAGGTTTTTGTCTGTTTTTGTCTCGCAGCTGGAAGCAGTGGACCTGCTTGCGTGTTGCTCATGCCCCATCTTCCGCAGAGCATGGAGGTGGTTAGCGAGAAGGCATTTTTCAACCCCGTGGGCAAGATTATCTCAGAGGGCAATCTGGGCGGATTTGCTCTTCATTGGCCCAGATTGTCGTGGGGCAGCTTCCGGTGTTTTAGTCAGAGTGTTGCATGAGAAACCACAATGAACTTGGTTGTCTGTCACCAGGAAAGACAAAATGTGGTTGAAAGATAGCGCGGCATTTGATCATCTCTTCCTTGCAACGGCAGCGTATCTAGATGCAAAGTTAAAAGAACTTTTTAATTGTCAGGATCACGAAGAAATTTGCAGACAAAAAGCACCTTTTTTGTTATACGAATCTCCTTTTTTGGTGGTCATGGGACCCTGGGAGGTCCTCTGTACATAGCGTCTTGCCGCCGAACGACCTTCATAAGCCTCCAGAAGTGGTGTCGGGCCCAGGATTCAAAGGGCTCCAATCGCCTTTTCAAACTGGCGAAAAAACAGAGAAAGACCCTCCTGCCCTCCCCTCCCAGCAGAGCAAAGGACCAAGAGATAGAGAGTGAAGTGTCGGTTAAGATAGGAAGCCTCGGGTCTCAAAGCCCGTCTCTGAACTTGCTTTCTACAGTGCCTTGCATGTGAGCAGGCGATAATCGAGGACCGGAAGGAAAAGGAGAACACGAGGAAGAAGGTTGAGCAAGATGCGCTGGAGATGAAGAGCATCCTGAGGGTAAGACGATGCTTCTGCTTTTCAAATCTGGGCCACCCCGGGAAGAGCGCTCGCCCCTGCCCCGCAACCCTTTACCTCCCGCTCCCAAGGGTGGACACGCACATGCGTGACCTGGACGGGGAAAGGACCCGTTTTCTAGGTCCTTGCAATAAACGGACCCCGGTTAATGGGCTGGGCTTGTACAAACCAAGCCGCAAAAAATTAATATTAGTGTGCAAAGGCAGCCTCTGGGCCTTTATCTGCTGCTGCAAGTGACCTGCATCTGCTTTACGGCCTTTGGGGAATGTTTCCAACCTTGTATAGGGTAATCTCTTCTTTCCTAAAGCACAAATGTTCACTTTTCTGAAGAGGTCAGTAAAAGGTATTTTTGCAGCTGTCCCCAAAGAGAACAAGACAGAACGGTTCTTAGCGTGGCAGAAATTGGAATGAGGAGGAAGAGAGAGAAATTCTGACAAGAGCTTTGAATCTGCCTGATGGAAAACGTATTTATTTATTAAATTTGTATGCCGCCCATCTCCCCCAGCGGGAGAGAGCAGAAGCCCATCCTAGCTCTGCTTCCTCTATTACTGAAGAAATTTGGATGCGTCCAACTCTTCTGGACTTGGGGTGGCTTCCAATGCGCAAAAATACAGTAGAAAACTTGTACAGCGTAACAAAACACGAAAAGCACAATACATAACAACGATGTTGTTATAATACCTGATATTAGGGGGAAAAAAGACCTCCAGGTAGCAACAACTGCAATTGTTTCCCAAATCCCTCCAGGAGAGCTGAGTTTCTAAAAGCTTCTGGAAGGTCCCTGGCAAGGCGGCCAGCCTCATTTCTGGAGGGAGCTTTTTCTGCGGCGCAGGTGCCCCACTGGAAAGGCCTTGGCCCTCTTCCCCTCGCGGAAGCAGCTGTTCCCGGGAGGACCTCCTCGGATGGGTCAATTCCAGGAGTGCCTCTGCTCTGAGCTTTCCACGGACGTTGCGAAGATGGGTTGGAGCTGGCAGCTTGGGCACAAATGTGGGCATGGAGCTTGTGGCTGCCTTGCAGCAGGCAGGTGGTTTGTAGGGTGCTGGACGCCAGCCCGGCAGGGGGCTGGACTTTTGCGCAGCTATTTTTCAAAGGAGTCCACTGTGCCAAGCTGCCCATGGCGGCTGCGAGGGGACAGGAACTGTTTCCGCTGATTCTTGTCCTTCTTTCAGCTGCAGGCCTGGTGGAGAGGCATGATGGTCCGCAAATTCCTCGGTCCTTACAAAAACCTCAAAAAATTCCTGGAAGAAGAGCCGGTGGGCAAAGACAAGGGGAAGAAAGGCAAAGGGAAACCCGGACCCAAGAAGAAAAAGTGATGGGGAGAGAGCCTGTCTCTGCTAGCACAGCCACGTTCAGCTTGTGCGCATTGGGGAAGGGGGCAACTTTGTATTTGCCCAGGGGATTAGAAATAATTAGACACATTATCTGTTTAAGCACTTGCTTCTCTCATTTGGGGAGGACTGATCCCGAGGCATTGAAGCTGGCGGCTCTGTTTTTCTAGCTATGAAAGGGAATAGGGAGCCGCCTAATAAATACAAGCCTTTGTCCAGACTTTCTACTGGTAACTCTAAAAGAGGGTGCAAATATTGTATTTTGTTTTTCTCAAAGAGTTCAATGAAGCTGCAATGAAAAACATACGTATAGGAAGCTTGATGCTCTCTGATTTCCACAATCTTGGAAATATCTATAGAAAAATGTCACCCAGAATACATTTCATTTAATTTCTGTCAAAAGTATTTCTTCAATTAAAGAGTAACAGGTACAATCCTAATATTCATAGAAGCACAGTGTTGGAAGGAACCATAGAGGTTCCTCAGCATAGGGTCCTTAGAGTATCTCTAGCAGATGACCACTGACCCTCTGTTTGGAGACCATGAATGAAGAATTCAGCACCAGATCATTTCCATTAATCCACTGGATATTAACTTTGGGTTTCCCAAGGCTTTAGCAACCTGGGCATTTGCCCTGAAGACAGCCAAGTGATGTTACACGGCTATCTTTTGTGTAAAACCAAGATATATTTAACAATCCCCTTGAAAAGATGAGTGTTGGATGCCAAGGAAAGGATTTCAGCTTTATTGTAAAATTATTTTGTAGCCCTTAGTAATAGCAAAACTGATTTAAAGTTGTGATAGAAACCGAGATATCTGAGAGACTGGATAAACCTGCTTCAGAATAAATGCTTCTGTTTGCAGAGGCAGGTTTTAAAGCTTAAACCTTTATTTCAAATCACCCAAGTTTGGAGTTTATTGTATCACGTATGCTAGAAACTGATTGGTAACATAAACAGGTAATTTAAAATAAAACCCATGATATTATGACATTTATATTTGATAGTCTTTGAAACCTATGGAATGTATTTACAGACATACAAATATAGGAAATATTAAAAAGTTCTTTGGCTACACTACTACTTACACTAGCTTTCCCCAGCTTGGTGCCCTCCAGATGTGATGGATCACAAATTCCCTTAATTCTGAGCCAGCAACTCTGGGAATTAAGGCAGCTGTGGTCCAACTCATCTGCACAGCACTAGCTGGAGAAAGGCTGAATTACACTTGGCAGAAACAACAAGGGTAAAGCCCGGATCTTCTGGCCAAGCGCCAGCCCAAGAGGAAAGGCAAGTTGTAGGGCACTGAAAGCCACAACTTCCAAAAGTTCTACAAAGGACACTCATGTTTTTAAAAAAAGCATTTAGTTTCCTCCCAAGACATCGTAGCACCAGTTATGACAAGGGACACAGAAAGGTTCTACTCTAGCGTAGCCTTGTTAGGGTTTGCTCTGCCACGAACCTCACTCAAATGAGAGGTCATTTTGCAAAACACGGTGCTTCTGGCTATTGCAGGGGAAATTCAGGGGTGCCCTGGTGCCAATACCTACTCCTGGGAGGCTCTGAGCTCGTTTGATTAGCTGGTGGTAGAAGCAGGAACTCCCCCCCCCCCCCCAAAGACAGTGCAGGAATAGAGGCGCTAACTCCATCTGTCACGTCTGCCAGCTTCTCTAGGACAGGCACATGTTGTTACGCAGGTATCATCAGATCTGGCCCAACAAAAATGTTGGTCTGCTTTCCACACAGCTACTTGGCCTTTGACCCGGGCTGTCTGGTGGGATTCGGGGGAATTAAGACTGCCTGGATGAGTAATGACTGATGGATGCCCAACCAGCATTCGCACAGGGGAGTTGCCGGGCTGACTCACCTTGCCTGTTGAGCATTCGTGCACATGGCCGTTTCCGGCAGCCTCAATCCCTCATCGTGTGGGATAACCTGGCCATGTATTTATCAGGACAGGAAGTCTCTCTCATTGCTCCTCAAACGTCAGGCGGTGAGGATGTGTATTCACACTCGAGAAGGAAAGGGTGCTGGAGGACATTAGCAGGGGAGCCCTTGGGTGCAACGGCCCTCAGCCAATGAGCTTCAGGCAAAGACAAACTACGTCAGTTCCAAATATTCACTGTATTCAGAGTTCCTTGATAACATCATAGCACTTAAGTAATGTAACAGCAAACCCTGGGGAAGCGAGGGGACAGGACAGGACAGGACCCACCCAACTGATATTCTTCATAACAGGACAATCCTCTGTTGTTGCTTCTACAAACAACTTTTATACACTTTCTTTAAAAACTTTTTTCACCGACTATAAGAAAAATTGCACATAAATATAGCAAAACACAAATTCCCAAGCCATTTAAAACCTGCAATGAAAAAAGGGGTTGGGGTTTTGTTTTGAAGGTTTCTTTCTTTCTTTTTTGGTATAACAACAAAATCAAGTAGGTTGAACAGATAAGAGTTTTCTTTCATGCCGAACGCAAAGCCAGCCCCAAACTGAGCTGTGAAGCAGACACAGCAGACCCTTATCACACAGGTGCTACGTGGGAGAGACGGACTGTGCCTTTTCCTGCCTGGCCATCCCCCCTGCTCAGGTGGCCCATGCGCTGCACCCGAGGAATGCCTTCAACCGTTCCCGCACCAGAGCCAGGGGGGCGTCAGGCAAGGGCACCTGTGGTGGGCTTCTGTCTCCTCCGCATCGCCTCCCCTTTCCGGCCCTCGCACGTATCTCCAGTGGGCAAGCACCGGATCGAGCTTCTGTTGCATCGAGGCCGACAATGGCTGCTTTATGTTCTTTCCTTCCGTCGTTCTTTTTTTTCCGCAGCCAAAGCTGATCTACACCACTGAGCTGCAAGAAATACTCTTTTCCAGGCGAGTGTAAGATACACCACCCAAGTTGCCTAGGCAAAGCGCGGATCCCCGAGAGGGGCAAACAGTTTCAAAGCAAACCATTTTCAATCCAAACCAGCCGCAGATGTCTGTTTTGAGAGCTTGGAAGTGTTTCGAGCTCGAAATAGTGTTTCATGCTCAAGAGCAGGGCTATCTTCAACTCGAGATCCTTCCTGGAGGCCTGAAACAGCTCAGTTGACCCTTGAAACAAGCTGTTTCTAATTCAAAACATGTTGCACATCCCTAATGAATCCCAAAGGAAACAGATTATGACTTCAAAGGCTCCCAACTGGTTTGCTGTAAAATAAAGTGCAGGAGTGTGGGAGTAAAATGCGAACCTTCATGAATAGTCTGATATCTACCAGATTTGCAGTTTCTCATGCTGAGTAGGCCTAGCTCTGTGTAACTAACACAAAAAGCACAGATTAGAAAGCAAACAGCTGAGAACTTGCAAAGCAGAGAGAAGGAACGGCAGAGTGCAACTTTAACAGTCCCAGGGGGGAACTAAATCCTACTGAACGAGACTTTAGAAACACTGCATTGTACCCCTTCAAAAACCGCATTTCGCTGCCAAAGCTGAAGGCCCCCAAATAGCAGAACTGTCTAGCTCCACAGCAGGACTCTCCAGGGCTTCTACGGCCCCTGGCGCCCTTCTTCAAGAAGCCCTTCTCTACAAAGCCATTTCTGCAAAATGCCGGATGCAGCGTGTGCCCTGGGTCAGAACTGTAAGCACTTGCAAGCCAGCAGCAGCCCTGGCGTAGCAAAACAAAAGACACTATTGCAACTGGATGCTCTTCTTCCGCTGAACATGTTCTTTGTGTGCTGAAGAGGAGGGGTGGGAGGCAAGGGTTAAAAAAAAAAAATTGGGGGGAGCCAGTCCCCCTCTCTCAGCCCAACTCACCCCACAGGGTTGTTGTTGTGAGGAAAATAGGAGGAGGAAGGAGGACTATGTATGTTCGCCGCCTTCAGTTATTTATAAAAGTAATAAAGGCGGGATAAAAAATCCCCCCCCCAAAAATTAAGTGCATCACACTGATACAGGAACATGACAATGCCAAGAAAGATACTAAAATAAAAATAAATAGTTATGGGTGTGGAGGAGGAAAGGGGAGGGAAAGCAACAGGGACGCCCTGGAAACATTTCCTATTCATAGTCCAGAGAAACAAACAGAAGCTTGAAACCAACAGTGTTGCCTCGAAGCAACTGGGGGCGGGGGACGGGGGCTGCAACCAGATAGAAAAAAATACAGCTACAGTCAGTCCTCTTTACCAATTCCCAAACCCGTTCCAACTAACCATTCTTTTTCTTACTTTCTCCCCCCTCCACATCTGTCACGAAAGACCTTCACTAACTTTGGCTTCACTTATTATTCCAAATACACATCTGCAACACATCTGATTCGTTTGCAAAGCGTTTTAAGTTCTCTAGCATGGCGACTGAGAACAGGGGCTTAATTCCCCAGCAGCTGAACTGGCCAACCAAAATCTCTTCTGCTCCACCTGGGCCAATGCGTCTCCTGCCACCCGGGCAGGAATGACGGGGCACGAGCTACTTCAATTGGACACCACTTCCCTGGCACCCTAAACATCCAGCTTCCTTTAGAGATCACACAGGTTTCCTCTACAGTACAAGAGCGTTGCCACAATCCGGTTCAAACAGTGGATTGGCACACTTTCCCACTCGCAGCACAAGTACTGGCTCTACCTGCAACTGTCCTATTAGCGTGGAAGCCGCAGGGAAGTACGAGAGAGGATCTCTCTGAATAGGGCCTCCGTTAGAGAACCCAAACCTGCCATTCTCACCAGCCTGCATAGGCTTAGCCTTCTTCCCGCCGCACCCTTACCAGGAAGGAAAGCTGCAACCTTTATCCAGGCCTTTTTCCACACGGGCAGAATTACACCACAGGCAGATTCAAGGAACTGCAGCTGCTTTTCCAACCAGATCCAAGCTGTGCCCAGTTAATCTAGAGTTCTTCCAAACTGCCCTCTCTGAGTAAGTGCTAATGTGGTTTGCAATCTCACTGGCACATTTTAAAAAAGCTAATTCAAAAAGCAAGGAATAACAACAAGGGGAAGAGGGACAGGCGGGCCGAGATGGGGGGAGAAACAGAAAGGCTGGATTGGGTCAGCTGTATGAAAGCTGTTCTTCCAAGCACCCAGAAGGGCATCTTGCTCTGCCCTGCAACACCACACTTCCTTCTTCAGTTAACCGGCGCTGTTTATGATGCATGGCTCACGGATCGTGCTGCTAAAGAGAAAAGCGTTGGAGGGTGGATATTAAAGTCGTACCAGGCTCTCTCAACTTCAGGAATCCAAGTTGCTGATTTAGAGTTGAACAATGTCACGCCGAATTTCTCATAGGTCTTGGGACCCAGAGTGCCAGAGGAATGCACATTTTTAAAAAGTATTCCTACAAAACACAGTCTGATGGGAGTGAGGATGAGAGGGACAAGATGAGCTAAAGAGAAGGGTGCTTCAGGAGGACTGGCTAAGAAGTGTCGCTCGGTTCCTTCTGGAGCTGGTCTTTTCTGCAGGATTGTTCAGAGCAGAAGTGCAAAAAGGGACTTCCCCCTCTGTGTGAAACCGACCAGGAACCTCAAATTTCTAACGTATATTTGTGGAGCAAAACGTCATTCTTCTTCCTCTTCCGGCCCAGATTGCCCGGGGGTGACACTTAAATATGAAGCCAACGGTTCCTGGAGTTTTCACCCCACTCCCTCCTCCCCAGCAAAACCCACGTTACAAAGGGTGAAGGTTCAGTGGAAACCTTGGGGACCTCCAAAAAAAGTGGAGAAATAAAGACAAATGATTCCCACCAGGAATTCTGGGTTCAGCTGTCGCTCTTCGAACACAACACTGTCTGTGTTTGGAGATGCTGCGCCAGCACTCGCGTCCTTCCGCTCGGCCAAGGGAAAAGGAGCAAGGTCTCGGGGGTCCTTACGCAGCCCCCAGATGCTGCTGCTGCTGCTGCTTGGGGGGGGCCCATTCCAGAAGGGCCTGCACAGTCTCTGCCACCCGCGTCAACCCCCTCTCTTCTAGAATATGCAGAGGCAAACACAGTCGCTCCTACAAGGGAGGGGGGACATACACAGACACAAAGGGGGGGAAAAGGATGATAATGAAAAATAAACAGGAAAAAGGAAAGCCAAATTAAATTAAGACAGGGCACGTGTGAACTAAGGACGGGATGCTGGCTTGGGGGGTGCCTCTAATGCTGAATGCAGACGCCTTCCTTGCCCTCGTGGAATTCAGAAGGGGAGGGCTTCCCTCTGTCTGAATCCCTGCAGCAAAACACCTTCTCCCCACCCCCAGGGGCCTCGGGACCACCAGGTTCTGGTCCTCCCTCAGCCGCGGAAGCCCCCCAGGAGACTTTGGGCCAGGGGTGCTCTTAGCCCAACCTACCTCACAGGGTTGTGGTGGGAAAAAGGGGAGGAGGGGACACTATGTATATTGTCTTGAGCTCCCGACCGAAGGCAGGACACCTGTGAAATCTACAAGCCAGCAGGTATCTGGGTGCTTCCCAACCCGAGACGCCCCGGTCCACCTGGGACTCAGCTGGACTAAGTGGACAATGACCAGCCAGCCAGATTTGGGGAGAACTTTATTGAACCAACACACTGAAAGCAAATGAGCCCCCACCGGACTGGCCACACAGATATACAAAGAGACAGTGGAAAGGAGGGGGGAAGTTTTAAGAAAAGCCAAACTCTTATTAGCAGTGGACTTTGTAGGGAGAATCAATTATACAGAAAACTAGGCAGAGAAGCATTTTCATCTGTGTAGCTCATCAATGTGGAAAAATAGGGTCTGTGTGCACAAAAATGACATTTTTCACTTGGTAGATGTGGGTAAACTAACCTAAGAGTCTTCTTTCCGTGCACAAATGATTCACACAGGCACTCATTTCTTATAAGCCACCTTTGAAAACATCTCCATCTAGAAATGTTCTTTTTTCCCAAGACAGATAGTGTTTGTCTAACTTAGGACCAGTTCTGTCAAACTGAACACGTACAAGGCTGACCTCACCCTTTTCTTAATTTTGAATCTTTACTGATCCTGAAAAAGCCGAGAGTCTCTTTGGAGACCTGTGAAGTCTGGCCCTCCTTCCACACTTTCCGCCATCAGCCAGACTGGGATGACCCTGTGCTAAGCCATAAAGGGGGGGTTCTTGTTCTTATCTCGGTGCAAGGTCTCCCGATCTCACAATCATCTGGGCAAGATAGATGTCCCTTTCAGAGCCATCTCTCTGGACCACGAGGTAACAGGATGCTGGATCTGAAAGCGGGAGAAGAGCTGCTGCCTGAAGATCTGAAGCGGACCCTTCCTTTGAGGTATCTCTGGAGCCTAGGCACTGCGCGGAGGGACAAAGCTACACAATGGTGTCAGTGGCCAGGAAGGGGCCGAAATGGGCTTTGAAGGGAACAGGGGTGCCAAAGAGACGGTGAAAGAAGCTGCACAGTGGTGCCACTGTGGAAGCAAGCAGAAGGTGGGTCTAGAAAAAACGAAGAGTGGCTGCGTAGAAGTGGAGGAATGGAATGCTGTGTGGGGCACCCAGCTCCCTACGTAACTTGACTTTCAGTTAACAGACGGTGGTTGGAGTGTTAGGATAGCCCTCCCTGCTAAAAACTCAAGAGGAGGAGTGGGACTGTGGAAGACTCCCTGGGGAAAGGAGGCCTCGATGTCCTGCACAATCCATTGTCCTCATTTCCTCGTGGCTGGCAGAACGACGATGCTGATCTATTCTGCCTATCCTCCTCATCAGATGCTACAGACAGCCCATGCTGGAGCAGAGTTTTCATTCTTTCTGGCAGCAGAGACACAACCCTGGTGGGGTCTCTCAGCCCCCCGGCTTGACTTCAAGAGGTGACTTTCTCCCAGATTCCTTGTGTGCGATTTCTGAATTACAGAGCAGGCACCAAGGTAAGGGAGCAACCTCAGCCCTCACGTCCAACGCTATATGACTTCAGGAAAATATTCTAAAATATTTGGAAAATATTCTAAATCTGGACCAAAAACTGATAGGACCGTACTACTTATGGAACAAAACCAAAGCATACTGAACAGTCCTAGCTCAGCTAGCCCCAGATAAGCAAAGGTTGTCTGCTTCAGCCCACAAAAGCTAGCAAGAATAAATCAAGTGTTGGGGAGCTAAGGATCCAACCCAGAAAAAAATTATAATTCACTGGATATGCAGAAAAGTCTGTTGGCTGCACAACAGAGTAGGGTAGCCATTAGTCATAAAGCTTCCCATTTAAGAATCAATGGCTGTAAAACATTCCAGATAGTTATCTGTCTATTGATAATGCAATTCAGGAACTAGGTAAGGAGGTCCCATGTGTCTGCTTGCAAACATTCATCAATCCTGTTTGCACATGCACGTAGCTCTCTCCAGGGCTGATGGTCAGTTTGCTGTAAGGCCTAAATGTGCACATTTCTGCAAGAGTAAAAACAAAGCAGACTCACTGCCCTTGCTCTGTTGAACTTATAGCTGCCAGCAAAACAGTGCGGATGAGTGGTGGTGGTGGTGGGGGGACAAGCCCTGAGAGGTCTGCCTTGACGGAAGCCACCTGGCTAGGGCGATCCAGGCAGCACTGCCCTTTCACCTGAGCCAAAGGCAATTGCTTGGGCCCTCAGATTCCTGCCTGGGGAGAGAAACAGGATCCCTGAGAAAGACAAGAGCACAGTGCTGAAGAGAGAGGCTGAAAAGGTTCAGCCGGGCGGGGTGGGTGGGTAACCTGAGCTACAGAGGCCGGGTGTGGAGCCAAGCCATTCTGCAAGGCTGCCTAACAAAGAACGAACTCTGGAAAATGTCTCCAAGCAGAGGCTGGTGTTAAGACCAGGGAGAGCACCTGCTACTGTCAAAAGCCCTGTAAAGCAGCCTTCAGAACACGGGACCACAACAGCCGTCACCCCTTCACCATGGGGGACCCCGGCGTAGGTGAAGGATGTCTTAAATTCAAGCAGGGTTTCTATTCTGTGCAAGCATGGAATCTGGGAGGGCTGTGCAAGGCTTCAGATTTGATTGAAGCAATGCAGGAGGGTGAACCCAGGGCCTTTCTGCGACTCATTGAAGCAGCTGTGTCATTTTCCAGCACAGCCAAGCTGCTCTGGGAAGGCTGCAGAGAGCCCTGAAATTTAGTATCAAAGAAATTCAGCACTGTAAAACCCTGTTCCCAACTGGGGTGTGTGCATGGGTGTGTAAATCTTACTGTCCTGTAGAACAGCAGAAAATAATTTGAACACCTGTGGGGTTATTTTCAGGTGAAGCCAGAGGAGAGTTGAGTTAGGGCATCTGGGATCTCACTCATTTTCTCCAACTCTGGTTCCATTCTCCAGAACCTCCTTATAAAGTGAAAACACCAGAGGAAATCAGGTCCTAGAAGGTAAGATGTGGCCTTGCTTGTTATACACTTTACATATTGATTTGGATCTCAATTTGAACAGTTCAAGAAACATAAGAGCATCAGCACAGATCAGTGTTTTTCAAACTTGGCAACATGTGGGGACTTCAACTCCCAGAATTCCCAGCATGCTGGCTGGGGAATTCTGGGAGCTGAAGTCTGCATACCTTAAAGTTGCAAGTTTGAAAAACATGGTATAGACAAACAGATTATGGATAGTATGAACTCTATTCAGGCAGGATTTCAGGTAGGGTGCAGCTGGAGTATTTATTGGGAAGTGGTACAGTTCTTACAGGAAAAGTCTCCTACTTTGAAAAAGAACATGACATGCTCTGAGGCTGCCTGTACTTCTTTGTGATCCGAAATACCTAGTGGGTAAACCTAGTGGCTGACTTGGATTGACCCAGATGCTGGCATAGCTGTGCAGAGGTAGGTAGGATCTGAGTTCAGAGGAAATGTGAGGCAAGGGGTTCTCCCCGGGAGCCGAGGCAGCGCTCAAGAGCAGGCATAGAGCGTACAGACGCTGTTCTCTTTGGAGAAGTATTTTCCCACCTGAGTCATTTGCCAAGTGAAAAAAGGAAGGGACTCACAAGGATCACTGCCCAGGAAGAGGCCTCTCTAAATTTAGAAAAGAAACCATCTTTCAGAAGCTTCCTCTTCTAAGGTTGTGCTGATAAAGTCACCAGAGGGGTCTGTGCACAAGCTGTAAAAGTCTGCTACTATTTCACAGCACGTGCTCTGCAAACGTTGTGGTGTCCAGAGACCCAAAGGTACTTTCTGAATAGCTTTTGGAGGATGTCACAAGTAGCAGAAAACAAGAACTCTGATGCAGAGACCTCTAAAAACCCTGAGCAAGGGTCTTCTTCATTTTTTAAAGGGGTGGTATTTCCAGCCCTTGGAAAAAAAAACCTGGAAAAGCCGGTAATTGCTTAAGCCTTGAGAAATCAAAAAGGTCTGGGTGGAACATGATGGAGATGGCAGAGCACCTTCTGATCCGAGCAAAGCATCCGGCCCTTTCCAGCATTCCATGAGTTCCAACAGCTAAATTTCCACTATGGTCTCTACCCTGTGCTCCAAGGAACTGAAAGGGGGTAAACTTTCTGTTCTACAAAAATATTCAGAGTCGTGTAGTTAAAATAAATTCATGCGTACCGGTTTCTTTTTGATTTCCATAAAGCATTCCAGTCTAACACAGCAAGATTTTTAAAAACCATACGTTTTAGATCAGGGGTTGGCAAACTGCAGCCTGCTGGCCAAATCCGGCCCACCCTGTTTTGTATGGCCCATGGGCTCAAAATGGATGGCTGGGGACAGACTGCCAGTCCTGAGCCTCCACCAAGCTCCTGGAGTGAGGGGAGAGGCTGGGGCGTCCTGGATGGTGGTGTCCTGGCTGGCGGGCCAGCGCCATCCAACAGCTGCCACGCTCCTTGGCCTGCAGACCTGCCAGCCGCGCCTGCAGAGGCAGAGAAGGGGCAGGATCTGGCCCTTTAGAGAAAAAGTTTTCCGAGCCCCGTTCGGGATGCTTAACTCACAGCCTGCTCTGGCCTGAGCAGCTCTCGTCGAGTAGGTTAGCTGGTGGATTAGAAAGTGCATACCTCCTCCAAAGCCCAGAGTGTTCACCAACCATTTGGAAGAGCTGGCAAGCTCGAGGTTTTTTCAGAGGAAAAAGACCCAGCGATAGAACACACAGACCATAAGCATCAGAGTACAGTAAAACGCTGCGAAAGCACAAAGCTGAGTGGAAAGGAAGACAAGACTGGGTTCTTCTGAATCTGTCCCCAGAGAAAGAAGAGATTCGACAGTCCTTTTAATGCTGAGGTTTAGCTGGAGAATGTCAGAAGGGGAACACAGACTGTCCTGTCCGTAGTGTGAGCAGGAAGGGAAAACAGACAGAAAAAAAGTTAGCGGATGTTTGATCAGTATCCATGCGAGACTTTGTGAAGCAGCCCAACGTAATCAACTTGCCACATTGCAACGTTCCATTTTTTAACCACTGCTTACGTGTACACATAAGTACTGTATACATACGGTGCAAGGTACTTTAAAAGACTAGCAACAGGCCCTTTTTCTAGGAAGCTGGCTAGTTATTTTAAGAGCCTCCACTGGAATAAACGGGACCTAGAAATTGTAGCCCATTTTTATTCCGTCACACAAAGCTGGTCTCTGATTGCAGAATCCTGCGCAGCTACCCCACCTCCAGCACTCGGCTGCCTGCCTTTCTTGTGAAGGCCAACGTCTTTGGCACCCTCCCCTTTCTGCTGACAGAAGAGGGGTGCAACAGGCAAAGCAGAAGACGCAAGGACAGCTTGGTCACAAGCGATGGGGGTGCAAGTGGCTCCAAGCGAGGAACCACCTCTGAAGAGCACACTCTCGAAAATGGCCACTTTGATGTCTCAACATGGCCCCATATCTTGACTGATACATGTCCCTGTTAAGCAGAGGCAGCCCGTGCCTATGGCTACTGTTGGGGGGGAGGCGTGGCAGAGCCCAAGAGGGGAAGCAATTCCTCCTTTCTCTCCTAGACAACCCTCTCTACAAAGCAAAAGGGGAAGATGTTCTTCTCATCGCTTGTGCAACTCTGCACGCTGCAGGTTGAGCGCCTCCTGAATTTTGCAGGGCCTTCCTGCTTGTACCTCCTTACTGGCAAGATGCGGGCACAGTATTCGGCTGGCAAGGTTAGGGGTCCTGATTTGCACTGAACAGAGAGAGCAGGACACTATTCCACCTGTCACATGGCGCAGGGTGGGGGGGCTTGCAATAATGAAAAATGAGTAAAACTATAAAATAAGCTGTTACAATAACACAACAAGGTTAATCAATCTAGGCAGAAAAATGTAATAGCAACTACCTCCAATAAATTATCTCATTTGTTCCTGTCCCAAGTGATGGATTCCCATGACACACTTAATGTGGTTACTCTTTTTCTGGCGGGGTTTCTGCTCACCAGGCCACAAGAAACAAACCACAGTTAGCAAGTTGGGTGCAGGCAGATGCCAGGTCTTTAAGTAATCTGGGTAGGTGTGCAGTTCAGCTCTATACCTTGCAGGCACCATTTGGGCTAACCTGCTCTGTTTAGGCAAATTGTGTTCAGGGCAAATTATGTCTCCGGTTTATTCATGGAGCTTCACCAGCAAGCTTGTCTTTTGTACAGGGATCGCTCTGCGGGCCCTGAAACTTCTTTTTTAGTTTAATCTCCCTCCCCACTAATTTTTCTTAACATGTGCAATTTCAGAGAGACCTTGATGCCCAGGAGGCTTAGCAGAGAGAGAACTATTCTCTTTTGCCTTTTGCCCAGTCCAAGGGTAATGAACACCAAGATTAAAACAAGGGCATTTGAGTTGTTCAAACATGATGGGACACAGGGTTTGGATCATGGCAAAAGGCAACACAGTTTTTCTGATCACAGTCTAATCCAGTGTTTCTCAACCTCGGCAACTTTAAATGTGTGGACTTCAACTCCCAGAATTCCTCAGCCAGCTAT